GTGAAAGGGCCTTCTTCCACTAAAACCAAAAGTTCTTAAATACCGTGTTTCAGCAGTTCAGTGCCATTACAAATTTTTGGGTGAGCTTTATGCCATCTTTAATTTACCATTTATGAGAAATGCCCCAGAACTGGGGAATATCTGGTAACTTTTAAAGACGAGAAGCGTATTGTTTGAGAGGGCCTGAAGTCTCTTCCTACTGATCTGCCAGGAAAACTGGAAGCAATTAAATATTCCTGATTCTTTTTGTGACTTTACCCTGGCATTAAAAATGTGTGAGCTTGATGAGGAAAACAATATAGAGCATGCATCCACTGTATATTATGCTTTCTTTCTAAGTTGGTAGTAACCAGAAACTGCAAGGAAATGCACTTGCGATAAAAATAAATAAATTCCCTGATGTACCATTTCTATTTGAATTTATTATTTTGTGTAAATACACTGCCTACACCTTGAAGTTGGTCATAAAACACTGATGATGGGGGTGAAGTGGAAAAGCAGGTTAGATTTAAGTACGTTACTTCTCAAATAAAGCATGGATCTGGAGACTTTTAGTTAGGCTAAGGAGAGGAAGATGAACAATCATCGAGCAATTTTATTATGCGTTTGTCTTTGCTTTAGATTTAATTTGGCACCCACTTTGATTGTTAGAACGTCACTGAAAAACCCTGCTTCTTTATGCCTCTTCATATTTATTTGTTGTTTGATGATTGCAATTATGGAAAGTTTGCTTGGGAGGAGTTTCTTAGAGTGTGACATGGTTTGATGGGGATACACATCAAGTTATTTGGATGTCATGACAGAAAAAGCCAGAGGGAGAAATACTGGTCTGAATTTGAGGTGGTGGTTGTCTTTATTTTTTTTTGTCTTTTTTTTTTTTTTTTTAAGACTAAAATGAAAGAACTAGATGAGTTTGTGAAGCCTCTGATGGAAACATCATATGTACTTGGCTCCATTGAAGTAACTTTATTGATTCGTGCAGTGAAATCGTCCTTGCAGAACAAGATCTAAGTGATGAGGTTTAAGATTTATAGTAACTTGGTTGGCCAACTTAGAAGGCTGAAACTACAGCCAAAACCCCACTCTTTATGTTAATATTTCTTGGACAAAAGGTCAAAACAAGCCATTCCAAACTTGCAGTGAATCTAGAGCATCTAAAGCCAACTGAAACACTGCAGATATTTTGCTATAGTAATGTCTGTTTTGTCTCTGTGGCTCGTGGAAAGTTCTATGCTCTAACTGCTATATGAATTGCCAGATTCGGTAGGTGCTTATTTTTCTGTATAAAATTCGGTGACTTATTTCCTAAGAAATACACCTTATCCAAATATATCTTATCCAAAAGATATATTTTGTTCATTTGTTTCCCATAGAATAGTATTTCTGTGTTGTCTGGTATTTCAGGAAAAAAAGGACGGTAAATTTTAAGAATATACTTTTGTATCTTCTAGACCAGTCCAATCATTGGTCAGACACAGCATGGAAGATATTCAATACTTTCCACTAAATATGGAATCGATTAACAGCATATCATGTGCACTTGATTGGGCAGTCACTTTCAGGATACATGATCATTCTGAGGATTTCTTTGAAGTTCTCATTTTAAAAATTTTTTAAATTTGAGAAAAATTCACGTTAAGAACATATTCCCATAAAGAAAAATTTTTAAGTGCTAGGTGAAAATGTGTCAGGTTTGGTTTTGTTGTTGTTTTTGTTTAAATATATATATTTATTTTTGCTAGCTTGGTAGAAGCATCTATACACTTGGGAGGAAAGTTTGCTTTTAAACTAATGTTGGTTTGTGAAATTGAAAGAGAATATACTTAGTAACAGGATTTTTTTATTTCCATAGGCTTGTACCATAATCGGTACACTCGGTTGTGTAACTGATTGCTTAGTAAACAGCTTCCCTATCCTGGCATAGGAAGGAGAGGGCCAGTTCTGTTACGTAAAAGCAGTAGAGTATATACTATCCTAAAAATAAAAAACCCATCTATTTGTTTGCAGTGTAGGAGGATGAAGTTGGGTGGGTGGGGTTTTTTTGGTTTGTTTTTTTTTTTTATACTAACTTTGACCTTTACATGTGCCTTGAGGGGAGCAAGGTGTTCATGGAGCTTCATGGGAACGTTTTGGGCTGATTGGGAACAGAAGTATATCCTGCCTTTCTTGCAGACCACAAAAACACATCTGAAGATAGTGAAAGAAGACTTCCTCAGACTTTTAAAATACAAATGTAGTTGCCTATGCTATAAATTGCAAATCAGAGTATGACGAGTAACTCCTCTCTGTTTACATCCTCCAGAGTGCAGCAGTGAAGGAGGGGAGGGGAAGAGGGCTCTGTCCCTGCCTCCTTAGCAGGTTTGGTGTGGTTTAGGGGTTTTATTAATTTATGTAATTATCTTTTTTTAATGTAGGGTGATATGGGGCAATGTCCAAACAGTAAGAAATGACAAATAAGCCTTGGGGCATATAGCACCACTCCTTGCTTTGGTGGAAAAGTTTGGTGTGTGCTTGTGCAATACTTAATTATCCCACTTCACATGATCATGCAGAGCTGAAATTTGCACTAACTTGTGAGTATTTGCTCAGGTTTTGTTACGTTACAAGATAAATGACACTTTATATATACTGATACTATATTAAAGTCTACTTAATGCTTTAAGAGGTTAGGTGACAGCTGAAAAATTGTCCAAGTACTACAGAGCAGCACTGAGCCCACTGAAGAGCATGAACAACTACTTTTAATTTTTTCAGTATGAACTTATGCTTTGATGTACAATGTTAATTTGTGCACCTTTTGACAAGCACTAAATATTATTCTATACCTATGATTATCACTTATATCACTTAAGTTGAATTTTTTTAAAGCAGGTTGTTTAAGATTTCAAAAGTTGGGTTTTTTTCCCTTTCCATATAAATGTTCCATTATAAACATTTGTGGTTTAAGATTTAAATAATTATATTTTTTTTTTGTCTTTTAATAGGTGAATGTCTATGTGCTGGGAAAAACTTTCCTTCTGTTGGCCAGAGAACTCTGCATAAATGCTCCAGCCATAGGTATTTTTTTTTACGAGTTGACTTTTGAGTATTTGGGTGTATTTTCTGCATGGTTACTTGACAAGAATATATATATGTATGTGTGTATATACGTAGTATTGTGTGCCAAGTGCCAAAGTGGTAACTTAAAAATGAAGCTGGAATCAATCCAAGCAGAAGAGCGTTGCTGACGATGGGAGCCTGTTCTCCTTTACATAAGTTTTTTGGGAGCTAGATGCTATTTTCTTTTACAAATAGTTTTGTTGCTTTTTTCTGAGCGTAGTTTAGGTTGTACTGAGACAACGGGTATAACCAATTTGTGTGTGTCTACAAGCTTGCACAGGTCTGTCACACTTCAGTTCCAGAGATGCAACATTTGATAAATATTTGCCAAATTTACTATCTGTCCATCACCTGTAACTGAGGTGTTCAGTGCTTAAAATACAAGTGGCTTGATGGAAAATGAGGAGCAATTTTTTCCAAGCATATGAATAACTTTTTAATCAGTCAGTCATCACTGAAATCGTAACACAGCGATAGGGATGTGGGTTTTAACCTGTCAAAGGGGTAAAAAAAAGCTATTGTCTAGGCCGTATCTTTTAAACCAAGGGAATTCATGCCAATTCCAGTTAAAAGAGTGCATTTATAGAGAGGTCTTGTGACTGTTACCCACCTCTGTGCAGGATTTTTCTTCCTGTATCTTTCCCCACTCTCACTCCCACTCTCCTTAATCTGCACTGAGAGAATCAGATGCCTTAGTGTTCAAGAAAAACACACACGGACACCCCTTCAGTTGTACTCAGCTGGGCACAGAACTGCCTGCCTTTGCAGCAGGAGTACCAGCAGCTCACGCATTGAGCAGCATCGTAACAGCATCCAGATAGTACGTGGCAGCGCACAGCTACCAGCCATTGTAGTGTGCTGGCTTCGTTAGCATAGCTTGGTATCTGTTAAAAAGTTCTTGTTTTCAGTAATTCGGTTGCTGCCTTATTTTTCGTTGCTACTTTTTTTTTTTTTTTAGAACAGGCAGAATTTGTATCGCAGCTCAGTTTCAAGGTGAAAATTAATGCAGCTTAGAAGGCAAACAGAAACCCCTTCTAATTTATATGTAGGGGTACTTGTTATACATGGAAAAAATATTGGTGTAGACTGCTCTTTGATTATTTTTTCCAAGGCCATTATGAGAGGACAGGTTTATAAAAAACAGTACTTCTAATTGGCTTATCTGTAATGCTTTTCAGACACTCAAGAAAAAACATTTATCATTCTTCGAGAAAAGTTAAGGGTAGTAGCTATAAACTTGAGTGCTGATAGTGGATAGGACTATCTTTTTTAGAAGAGAGAGCCAGCAGCTTTTGTTTTGAGGTGGCTTATTTCTAATTAGTAATTTTGAGTGAACTTAAAGACCATATTGCAAGTATTTCTCTAATGTCTGCTCCTAAACACGAGGATGGGATATATATTTAGATAGCGGTTGCCGGTATTACAGCTCTGGGCTAAATCTGGGATAAAGCCTGTCACTGCATCTGTATGTCTTGACTCTGGCTGTGCAAGTGGGGTGCAGTTTGACAGGTGCAAGTGTCAGTGTCGCTGCTTGCTGGGCAGGCTGGAGGTTAACGCAGATGATGGGTGTGAATGGGCATTAGAGCTTTCAAATATAACTACAGGATGATTTTGATCAACTCTGATTACGCTCATGGTTCATCTATGTTAGCTTAGGCAATGCACAAAAATCCCTGACCTTCTACAGCCGTCAGCTCCCTTTTTCGCAAAGGAAAATAAAGGCTGGTGATGGATAGCCTCAGTTACCAGGGAAGGGAACCTTCATAGCTGTGGTGATAGCTAATGCCCTGTGTAGATGCACACAGGGGACAGACTACAGGATCATCACCCCTGTTAACTGTACTGTAGATGAATTAATAGACACAAGCCGTAAGATTGGCAATGATCAAGTACACGGGATGTAGGGCAAGTAAAAACATTTTATATTTCACAGATTTCATAAACTGCTCTAGTTTAGAACATTCTGTTTAAGTCGTCTGCAGTCTGCAAGTTAGTTATCTATATACAAAATAAATGCACAGTACGTGCAAATTTTAACATTTTTCTGCTTGTTGCAGTCTTAATAATTAAGTCAAATAGCTTATGAATAAATAAAATAAGATTAAATTCAAGAGCATTCCTTCACTTATTTGTATAGCCTGATGTAGCAGATAGGTAAGTAGCGTAACATTCCACACTGCTGCAGAGTTCATAGTAAAACTGGAAAATCTCTTAATGTGCATCATTGCAGTATTGGAATACAATCAAGGTGAAATGCATCATGCATAGAAAATGAGCTCAGGTATTTGTCCTCCTTGTACTCCAGTTCCATTAGTACTGTCCGAGGAGCACTGGAACTGGAACGTCACTTTCCCGCACTGCACTTCAGTCATTCCCTCTTGCCCAAAGTAACTGAGTTCGTTACCATCGAGAATAGCACTTACATTGTAAAACGTGTCTTGCTCAACCTGCACAGGGTGTTCAAACCACACAGAGAAAGTGTTACTGGAGCCATCAGAGGTAAACTTTGTCAGATTTTGAGCAAGGACAACTCCTAAGCGCTTCAGTTCAATTTTGACACTGTATTCAGCTTTGCCACAGCTCGACCCATACAATCCCAGTCCTGCTATAAATATCCGTTTGTCTACGGCAAACTGAATACTGTCACATCGCCCTCGGTACCTCCACTGATTGCTGCGATATGCAGATGACTGAAACCGATGGCATCGCTGAGGTACGAGTCCTTTTCTTTTTGTCAGTGGAAACTCTAGTTTGGGTTTATTTGCGGCTGTGTACCATAGGAATATGTTGTGAGTTTCCTCAAGGGTGAGGATGTCAGACTGGGCAGCTCCATTGGCAAACTCTTCCAAAGTCATGGTCGGAATCCGCACCAAGTACAAAGCTTTTCCTAATACATTCCTCTTGTTGCGTGGTGTAACCGGCAGCCCTTGCCTTTTGCATTCAGCCTCTGCCCAGTTGAGAACAGCCTCAAAAACGACCACTTCCTTGGTGTTGAGTGCTTCCCGGGTCACAATGATCTCTAGTGTTTGTTGATCTATCTCACAGAAGCCCTCTGACTTCAGTGCCATTTCTGCTTGAGCATCAATCACTTCCCAGCAGCGCTGCGTCAGCTCTGGCTCCTCGAAGAGCCTGCTCTGAGACAGCAGGACACAAGCGTTCTTCGCTTCTAAGCTGGTCTCCAGAAAATTGACGCAAGCCTTTGCTAGGGCCGGCACAATGTACTTCTTGGCAGCATACAGCGTAGCCAGAACTGTGTCAGCTTCCAGGTCTATTTCGTCACTATACATGTATCTAGATGGAAGGGGAAAAAAAAAATAGTTTCTTAGGGAAAAACAAAATATAGGCTATGAAAGATTGATCTATAGTCATCTTTGCTGGCAGCGAATCCAACATTCAGTATTTGTCAGCACATTAAGTAAACAGTAATAAGTAGGTATTGCACAATGCCGATTAGGAGATGTATATTTTATAAGCTACTTTGATTCTGTCCACGTAATTAGAAGACTTGTAGTGGCCACTTACTTTAATAGGATTAGAAAGGCTGCAGGTTCCACATCTGGTATATGGATTTCAGATTTGACCTCTGCAAGATCGCCATAAAACATAGCATAGAAGACAGAGCTACCAACTGCCAAAACATACTGGAAAATAAAGAGAGAGAAACCTCAGTAATATGTACCAGTAATAGCCGAGCGTGCTGGCTTTCGATAAGAGCTACACTTAGGGAAAGTTAAAAGCTACAGTGGAGGCAGAAGACTGCCTTAGACTGTTTCCTTTAATTGCAGTGTATGTGAATTACTTTTGGGATTAGACAAGAGCCGTAATTAGG